GGGGACTTCTTCTATAAGATTATAGCCATGGACTCTGCAGAGTTCAGCTGAACTTTGACACACGTGAGATCCCTGGAGTTGGAATCCATGCAGCAGCAGTAGTTTGTTTTATTCCCCCCGTGGTTCTGCATGAAAGAATACAAATGAGATAGGATGAAACCCTGGCACCTCCCTCACTGCAGAGGCCAGCTTCCACTACCCAGATTTGCGTGAGGTTCTATTTCACCTGTGGAGGCTACACTGAATTACACGATTTTATTCCAAGATTAAAATGCCTGGATTTTATTCCAAGTTCCTTTATGAGTGGCTGGGTTTTTAGATCCTAACATCAGATGAGATGCTTCTTTTGTACATGGCATGCCTATAGACCGTCCACGTTGTACAACCCCATCGTGCTTGTTAGCGTCCCTTCTTCTATGAAAGCCCCTTGATGGAAGGGGTTCCGAGCCCCGGTAGCAGAAGATGGTACTTGGCTTCATTGGCAAGGTCACTGCCTCAGGATTAACCAGACCCTACTGTGTGACCGGTGCTGTGGACACACCTCCCGCCTCTGCATTTGTGGGTGCCACCTATTCTCAGAAGGATTTTCTTTCTCTCTCCTTCCCTGCTTCTGCCCCCCTCAACCACCCTCCAGGGTCCTTCATGATGGTGAACAGCTCTGGCAGGGCCTCTGGCCAGAAGGCTCACCTGCTCCTGCCCACCCTGAAGGAGAACGACACTCACTGCATCGACTTCCATTACTACTTCTCCAGCCGAGACAGATCCAGCCCGGGGGCCCTGAACGTCTATGTGAAGGTGAATGGAGGGCCCCAGGGGAACCCTGTCTGGAACGTGTCTGGAGTCATCACTGAGGGTTGGGTGAAGGCGGAGCTTGCGATCAGCACCTTCTGGCCGCATTTCTACCAGGTAAGGAGAACATTGGTGGTTTTCATGAGCTTGATTGAAACAAGGTCATTAGAAATCTGCATGTTTCCGTTTTGTGCCTGGCAGAGAAAGGCCTTGGCTTCATTGACTCAGAAACTCATTCAACACATGGTCACTGAGCTTCTCATCTGGCCCTCAGAGCCCTTGGTGGTGGTGCAGGGAAGCGCTCGAATGTCCACCAAAGGCCAGTCGGTTGAATGCAGTGGTCTCTCCACAGAAGAAAGGTGTGGAGTGCTCATATAAAGATTGCAGCTTGGAAGCTCGACACGGGAGTTCTATTCTATCTTCAGGGTCCTCTGGGTCATTACAAGGCAGAACTGACTGGACAGCAATGGCATGAGCCAGACCTTGGGATCTAGAGAAAATTCAACCCAATTCCTGCCTCTCTGGTGATCATGAGGCTAAAGAAGAGTAGCCAAAAGATAAAACAAAGCAAGCCCACTGTCTTCAAATTGAGTCCATCTCATAATGACCCTATAGGACAGAGCAATTGCATATGGTTTCTATGCAACCTAAGGCTGTTCAAACCAGCGACCTGACCTTTTGGTGGGCAACCCGCTCTCCACTCCCCACCCCCCACACTAACAGGTCTCCTCAGAGGAGAAGCTAGATGTGCAAAGAAACAATTATCATTCATGGAGATGCCCGTGGGCTCTCCAGGACACCAGAGGACATAGAAACGATGCCTTTTGTAAACCACGTGTTTACAACGTCCTGATGAGGGAGGTACCGTAATGACCCCCAGCTGTGGCTTTCCAGTTGGGCTGCTAACCACGGGTCAACCGGTCGAGAGGGAGGAAGATGAGTCTTTCTATGCTTGTAAGGATCTACAGCCTTGGAAACCCACAGGGACAGCCCCCACTCTGTCCTACAGGGTTGCTATGAGTCAGAATCGGCTCAAGGGCAGTGCATTTTGGCTGATTTTCCAGATGGAAACCTTGAGATAGATCACCGTTGTGGAAGGGAGTGATTGGGGGACAGGCCATTTGGATAGCTTCTGAGAGGAAATGATAGCTCAACTGAGCCTTGAATGGAGAATAAGAATGTCTCAGAAAGGAAAGGGAACGATACTTGTGTTGTTAGGGACAGTGTGTAAAGGACTGGGAGGACAAGTGAGAGAAGAGCCTGGAAACTCTAAGTTGTTTTAAGGGCAGTTTGGATCTACAGAGATAGAAGGCTACAGAGGCCAAGAGGCCATGGGCTATTTTGAATACTAGGCTAAGGAGGTGGAATTTCATCTGGATCAGAGCTACTCGAGCTATCTGCAGTGAATGATATGGTTTTGCTTCCAATTTATCATGGCCCAACAATCCTTTGGTAAACCACAATAAAAATGCCCCTGTAATGCCAGGTGGCTGTGAGAGTCCCCAAACAGTCCTCTTAAATTTCCTACTTATACCTTACGGGTTTTTAGTCCCAGACAGACAGACCTCAGTCTCTGGGCTATGCCGCATGGGGCAGAGCTCAAGGTTGTCATAGAAGTCTTGGAAGTTTGCATGCCAGAGGAGCCACTGTGGCACTTAAAGCCACTGCGTTAAGTGACCATGAACATCTGTTGGTCTTTAGTACCTTCGATGAGTCCTGCAGCCCTCAGGACAGACTAATTGTAGTCCATTTTCATCACCCCAGTAAGATGTCTTGAGCTCCCTCCAAGGTCTTCCCATCCCTGTTGTTGAATCTGTCAGTAAGATACCAACATATCCAAATTGGGGAGACATTGGTCTAGAGTTTGCAGCTGAAGGTAGACATAAGGGGACCACAGTTGGTCTGGGTGGAAGGATGCGCTCTCAGTCATTGCGCAGTCTGCCCTCCGTGGGAGAATCCTCCCAGATTTCCATGCTAGGAATATATTTGTTTAGGCAAATCCCTTGCTGGGTTTATAGGAATGAAACAATTCAAACTTTATTCTCCTCTCTGCATTGTCAACTAGAAACCAGAAAGCAATACTCAATTGGCCTCAATACTGAGCATATTTCCACTTTTCCTCAACAGCACAGTTTCTTCTAAAAACCACTTTATTGTCCTTTGGATTTTTGAGACTCCTTTTAGAAATAGGGTAGAGGTGATGGTGCTGAGAGCGTGATCCTGAGAGTGAGGATGGCGGGGATGGTGAGGATGGTGAAGCGATGTTTGTTTGCCACCTTCAGATGTGGCACAGCACATGTCACATCCTTGGTCTAATCTTCAAGAACAGCCATTGAAGAGGATGTGAAGCCCATTGTACAGATGGTGGAATTCAGGTTTAGAAATTCCACATGGATGACGGGGATAGAGCTTTACTTCATTCCCATGGCGTTTGAAGGATTCCATAGTCTAAACCAAGGGAAAGCCAATGGGAGTCACGGGTAATTTCAGGCATTTTGAGTACCCACATCAAAGAAGGAAACAGAGGCAGGTGAAATTAATGTTAATAATACATGTATTTTTAACACCCCCCCCCAAAAAAAACCCTAAAAACTCACTGCTACTGAATCGACTCGGACTCACAGTGACCCTACAGGACATGGTAGAGCTGTCCCTATTGGTCTCTGAGAATGATTCTAAGGGGGTAGGCAGTTTTAACTTTCTCCTGTTTCTTAAGCCCATCATGTCCCAAAATATTAACATATAATCACATAGTCATATAATCAATTAGTAATGAGAACTTGACCATCTTTTTCTTTAAGCCTTCATGCAATAGGGAATATGACACGGCTGGCAAAATCCGGTTCTCACGGTACATTTTCTTGGGACTATCTGTCCTGTATTGAGACTTCATCAAATGTACAGTTTAAGAAGTGGATTCATATTAAGCAAATGGTTTCCAAACATTTAGAAGCTTTCCAATTACTGCATCAAGCATTGGTTTTTAAATGTACATTTAATGAAAAAGAAGTCGAGTGGAAAATTCCACTCCTCACTCTCCGTAGCTACTTGCCTAGTGCTCTGTTGACATGTGTGGTCAACGGCTGCTGCTTTGTACAGAGCAGGTTTCGACGCTTCCCTGCTTTGCGCCACAACTTCCCCTACCTGAGTTCTTTTTGTGTTTAACTTTGTCTTTAGAATTAGGCGGAGGTTTACAGAGCGGATCCAAGTCAGGCACATTTTGTTTCAGTTCATCCCTGGTTGTCCCTTTAGCGGAGTAGTGCTGATTCTGCTTTCTCCCCGTGTTTTGCTTGGATTTCCTTCTCTTTCCCAACCCTCTGAATGCTGTCGGGGGAGGGGTGGGTGGGAGGAGTGGGGTGGAGGGGGAATGCTGCCCCTTTGATCCTAAATGGTTGATTATTCTACCTCAGGGCTGAGATCAGTTCTGGACAGGGAGGCAGACTAAGGGCCAGAATCTCTGGGATCCACCTGCCTTTCTTGCTTTGGTTTGATTATATATATATATATATAGAGAGAGAGAGAGAGAGAGAGAGAGAGAGAGAGAGAGAGAGAGAGAGAATCATCGTTTCATAGTTCAGTCACGTCAAGCAGTATCCAAACATTCTTTTTCTTCCTGGACACCTTGATATAATTTCCCTCTACCTGCTGCCCCCGTCCTGCCTCCACCCGCCACTGTATCCCCACCTGTCTTTCTACCTGACCAATAAGCCTAGTCTCATTTACGACTTTGAGTTGTTTTCCACGTGTTTTAATCTAGGAGAGTTCTTGAGGATCTCAGCCACACTCGGCACTCTGCTGGGTGGTGGACACGAAGGGGTGGGTGGGTCCGGGCCTTTATGGAGCTACTTCTGGCAAATTCTGGTCCGAGATATGAGTGTTTTCTTGAGGTTTACCTTTTGGGGGCCTTTGTCAGAAGACTTAGAAGAGGAGGGTGATAAGATCCCGTGGTTGGACCACCAAGCAGCTCACGATGCCCCTCGGTGCTAGGGAGCCTCCTGGAGGCTGGGAGAGGGGCCGGCATGACCATGCTGATGATTGTGTTCCTGTCTCTTCCCCATTCTCATTGTCTCTGCCCACCCAGGGGTGGCCAAGAGGCAGAGGTGAGAGTAAAGGGAGTAAGGCAGGAGTGAACGGGAGAGAAAGTGAGGAGGAGAGAACAAGAGGCAGCCACCTCTTGGGCAGAGATTCAAACGGGTTCTTCCCGGTTCATTCATGGGGACTGAAATGAAATTGGAGCAGACACTTTATTATTATTTTTTAACACGGTGAAGCATGACGATAACTGAAATGGTAAAAATGTAACCCAAAATCCTAGAGTGGGGGCCTCGGTGGAAGAGGTGTAGGGAGCCCTTTTCAGGAATTTCATGTGAGGGATTGGATTATTGTCACAACGAGGAAGGTCACCACGCATTCAGAACAGTATGGTGGGCCGCCATCTTTGATGGGCACCATTGTTTCTCATTCTGCTATGTAAGATAAGAGATTGCTAGGCAGCGTGCACACTGCCCGTGTTTTCCATGAGGGAGATGAGCTTTTAGGAGGTTGTCAATCTGTAATTTTCCTATTCTTCTTACTCTTCTGGTTCACCCACATTTTAAAAAGTCAGGTCCATTCTACTCTTTCCTGGTTGGCTCTGAATGAACTGGCAAGAGCTGGTTTAGAGCCCTGGTCTTAGAAATACTTGCTTTCCGTTTGATGAGGAGGGTAGAGTGGTTAATTAAGCACAGAAGCTGCAGCTCAGGGAGAGGGACATGTCTGATCAGAGCACACAGGAGCAAATGAAGGGGGAGGAAGAGGGAGGGAGCACATCCTGGCCCACCAAGCCCTGCGGATGATATCGCTGCTCACGCAGCCAATGCACAGAGAGGACCTTAGGGCCGGCCCCATTATGAGACACTACATCCCTCACTGACCCATATCCCTATGGGGGACAACACTGGAGACACAATGTGGGAATTGCACCTGGTCTGACCCCACCACAGTGAGGCAAAACACTAAGGGCGTGCAACAGAACAGCAAGAGGAGCAGAGCAAGGAAGTCCCAAGAGAATACCAAAAATAGACTTTGGGACCAGGGCATGGCGCCCCATCAGACTCGAACATAAAACACTCCTAAAG